ACCCTCCTGGGTTTTTTCATCTCTTCTCCTCGTCTTCTTACTCTTTGACATGATAATCCCTAGCTTTGAGGCCCCTGGAAATCACAAGGGCTACAGCTGCCTCTGAGGCCAAAGCTATTTCTGAGAATCTCTTGGGGTAGCCCCTATTCCAAGCCCAATGACCTCTCTGCAACTTTGTTTTTCCCCAGATGCAACCACCAGACCCTCCAGAGAAGACCTATGAGGTACACTGCCCCTGCTGGGTTTGGTTAAAGAATCTATAGAGGAAATACAATCTGAGTTTATATGTGACAATCCTGAGAGATCATCTTGTCTAAACCTTTCATTGAACATCACAGGGCCAGGGATGGGAAGAGAGTAGCCTAGAGCCTCACAGGGAGCTGGGTCAGATGCCAAGACCCTGGATCCTCTTTTGTTCCTTCCACCCCAGGGCTAGGAATTGGATTGCCAATGAAGTGGTACTGGAACAGCATATGCTGGGGTGATAAGGAGGCTGGGAGTAGGGGTTGCAGAGCCAGCAGGAAAAAGGAGAGTCCTGGGCCAGGGACAGAGCCTGTGTTCTAACTCTGCTTCCACCTCTGATTCTGTGCAAGAACCTGAACAGATTCCTTCCACTCTCTGGGTCTCTGAAGACTGTAAGTTGGTACATTCCTGGCAATCTGTGTTTGCAGGCCCTACCTGATTTCTCTGCTTACTTGCAGACGAAGCTGCCTTCAGAAAGCCCTGGAGGCAATTCTTTCAGCCCCTGGAAGCCACCACCCAAAGCTCTGATGCCCCCACTCAGATTGCTCTACACTCAGCCAAAGAGTAACATGGAGTCAGTCTATAAGGTATGTTTATGCCACATTGAGTCTTTGGGCAGGTGGAAATCTGTCACCAATTTGCTTTTTCTTCCCTACTAAAGAGTCTGTAGGATGAACTATGAAAAACAATTCCCTTTAAAAAATCTCAATTCCATCCTATCCATTTCCATCTTGTCATTTTCTACTTAGTTTTACTTCATTCCTTTCCAGTGCACTCCATTTAATTGCATTCCATGTTTCACTCCATCCATTTCCTTTCGATCCATTTAGCTTTATTCAGTTTCTGTATTTCTGTATCACTTCACTCTGCCATTTTCTTTCCATTCCACTCTATTTCCGCCCATCCCATCTCTTCCCATTCACTCTACTCCATTCCATGCCTTTTCTTTTCTCTCCTTCCTTCCTTTTCGTCTTCCTTTTTCTTTCCCTTTCTTTCTTTCTCTTTCTTTCCCCCTCCCCTCCTCTCCCTCCCTCTCTTCCTTCTTCTATTTTTTGAGACAGGGTCTTCCTCCATCATCCAGGCTGGAGTGCAGTGGCTCAATCTCTGATCACTGCAACCTTCACCTTCCGGTTCAAGGGATTCTCCTACTTCAGCCTACCAAGTAGCTGGAACTACAGGCATCAGCCATCACGCCCAGCTAATTTTTGTATTTTTAGGTAGAGACAGGGTTTCACTATGTTGGCCAGGCTGTTCTCAAACTCCTGACCTCAACTGATCTGCCCACCTTGGCCTCCCAAAGTGCTGGGATTACAGGAGTGAAGCCACCGGGCCTGGTTCATTCCATGCCTTTTCATTCCATCCCACTCAACTCTGTTTGATCCCATTACACTCCTTTCCATCTCTTATTTCATTCCTTTTCGTTCTTTTCCATTTCTATTACTTTTATCCATTTTTTCTTTTAATTCCTTTCAATTCATTTATTTTACATTCCATTATACTCTATTTTATTCCAGCTTCTCAATTTCCATCCCACCATTTTATTTAATTTCCATTCTTATTCTTCCCATCCCATTGCATTCCTCTTATTTCCATCCATATATTTAATCCATTTTATCCATTCTATTTCCTACCTCTCCATTCCTTCCTAGTCAATGTCCCTATTTACATTCATTTCCATTTGATTGGTTTTCATTTCATTCCAGCTTTTATTGTTTCTTTTCCATTCACTTTTTTTCCCATTCCCTTTTTTCTTTTTCATTCACTTTTTCTCCATCCCTTCCCCTTTCATTCAGTTCTATTTCACTGTTTTCCATTCCCTTCTCTCTGTGGTCTTCATTTCCTTTTCCTTTTCATTTCTTTCCAATCCATTTCACTCTATTCTATTCCATTCAATTCTTCTCCATGTTTTTTCACTTCCATCCTCTCCCTTCATGCCCTTTATGGCACTTCATTCCCTTGTCTTTATTACTTGCCTTTTCAAGCTTCCCATTTAAGTTCTTTTCAAGTCATTCCATCTCACTCCTTTCCAGTCTTTTGCATTTCCTAATCTTCATGACATTGATTTCAGTTTCATTATTTTATATTCCATGGTATTCCATTCCACCTCTTTTCTGTTTTCAAAAATTGTTTATTTTTATTCTTTAATGTTATACTTTCCCTCTACTATATTACTTTTCTGTCATTTCCTTTCCACTTCTTTCCCCTCATTACCTTATTTTATTACTCTCCTTCCCACTCCATTTTATTTTATTTATTTCCACTACAATTTTCCTTTCCATTCAATTTTTTTCCCTTGCATTTCTTTGGAAATCATGCCATTTTATTTCACTCCATTCTCTGTCTTTAATTTTTATTATATTCCTTTTTGTTCTACTCAATTTCCCTCCATTCCATTTATGCCTTTGCCATCTCTTTCAGTTGTATTCCTAAACAGTCTATTCCTTTTCATTCATTTCCTTTCCTTTGCAAGCTTTCATTTCATTCATATTTACTTCCCCACATTTTTCTCATGGGAGATTTGAAGCAGTTTATGTACAACACTACAAAATGGTGTTAAGTTAGAAACAGAAATCACAATAAAAATGTTTTTAACAATAGCAAGAAGTCAAGATATGGGTAAAAACTAAAAATATATGCAAGGGTTACATGATATCTGCTTATATGTTTCTAAGCTTCCTGGTAACAATAAAACAGAGAGGTATGATTAGTTACATCATTCAAAAAGAAGAAAACTGGGCCAGGCACGAATGCATGTAATCTCAGCATTCTGGGAGGTAGAGATGAGCAGATCACTCAAGGTCAGGTGTTTGAGACCAGCCTGGCCAACATGGTAAAACCCCGTCTCTACTAAAAATGCAAAATTTAGCTGGGCATGGTGGCAGGCACCTGTAATCCCAGGTACTCAGGAGGCTAAGGCAGGAGAATCACTTGAATGTAGAAGGTAGAGGTTGCAGTGAGCTTAGATTGAGCCACTGCACTCCATCCTGGGCAATGGAGTAAGACCCTGTCTCAAAAAGAAAAAAAAGAAAAGAGAAATGAGAAAAGGAAAGGAAAGGAGGAAGGAAGGAAGGAAGGAAGGAAGGAAGGAAGGAAGGAAGGAAGGAAGGAAGGAGAAGAAAGAAAGAAAAGAAAGAAGAAAGAAAGAAAGGAAAGAAAGAAAGAAAGAAAGAAAGAAGAAAGAAAGAAAAGAGAAGAGAGGGAGAGAAAAAGGAAGAAAGGAAGGGAGGAAGGAGGGGGGGGAGGGGGAGGGAGAGAAAGGAGGAGGTGGAGGAGGAGGAGGAGGAGGAGGAGGAGGAAATGACTATTAGTTCATCCAGGCATAAGCAAAGATTCCCAAAACAAGTTCAGAGCAGTCAGGTGATAGCTCCATAGTTCTAAGGACTAGTAGAATTACTTTAGAGAATTCAAGTGATCACAACCCTGTCATCAGGACTAGCCAGATTACCCCATTTCCAAGAATGGACTTTAAATAATTCTATATTCTGAGCAAGTCTGTTACCAGTCAGAGTTTATCCAGAGAAGTAATAAGAGAGAGGCCAGAACAGGGGCTGAAATCCATGTCCTACTGACAGAGTGAGTTTAGAAAAGAAAAAGTTTAGGGACAGAGGACTCCCAATATTTTAGTGTCTAACAGGCTTTGGGTAGCAGGATAAATGGGTTCCTTGTTGTTCCAGAGGGCAGATAAATTACCATGGAGGATAAGTAAGGGAAGGGTAGATTTTAGCCTAACAGATGAACTATTCTTGAAAAATCTGAATATCTTATATACCTTTTAATTTTTTTGAGACAAGGTATTGCTCTTTCGCCCAGGTTGTGTGCAGTAGTGCCATTATGGCCAATGGCAGCCTCAGATTCCTGGGCTCAAGCAATCATCCCACCTTGGCCTTCCAGAGTGTTGGGGTTACAGATATGAGCCACTGCACCTGGCTGAATGTCTCATACAGTAATATCTTAGTCAAGAATTTTTAATGTTAAGAAAGTTAAACCTTTGGAATGTAGTTCAAATGTGGGTTGAGAGAACACTGAGAGATTTCAGATAACTCAATTTCAGAAATTACTCCTGGGCTTCTTGGGGACTCGAATGCTATCAAGAAGCTGTTTCTCTCTTATTATAAAGTTTCTCATTTTCACATCTATGAATTCATTTCATTCTTCTCAATCCAGATTGAATTCCTATGTAAGTCTCCTGATCATTGCTTCTTTATAACTTCAGATTACATATAATATCTTCTGCTGCCCTTTAAGCATTTCTAGGTTAAATTCTCCATAGGAGAATCAAGTTGGTTCAGGCTATGGTATGGAACACATTTAGGTTGGTCAGCTCTCTAATCAGCTTTGAACTGATAAAAACTTAGCCACCTAGTCCCTCTCTTCACCAGTATCTGGGTAGGGGAGCCATGTTTGTTCCCCATTATTAGTAGGGCAAAAGGTCTTCCCAGAAATCCCACCCAGTAAGCTTCCTCTTATATCTCATTAGCCAGAATAAGGTTATATGGTGCTCCTTGTTGCAACAGAAGCTGAGAAAGTGACATATTAACATTCCCAGTCTCTTCAGTAGAAACAAGCAAGGGAAGTGGTGTGGGGAAGAGCATTAGGTAAGTTAACTCAGTCTCTGCTACATTACAGAGGGATTAAAAGGAGCAAGCCACACAAACAGTATGGAGGGATACATTACAAGTTGAAAGGCATCAGGAAGAAAGGCCCTGTAGTGGGTGTAGGGTTGTCAGTTGCTGTGTAATGAATTACCACAGACTTTGCAGCTTAAAACAACATTAATTTATTATCTCACAGTTTCTGTGGGTCAGGAGTTCAGGCATTGCTTAGACAGGTCTTCTGCAAGGCTATATAATCAAGATGTCAGTCAAAGCTCAGGTCTCATTTGAGGCTCAACTGGTGATGGATTTACTTCCAAGCTCACATGGTTATTAGCAGCATTCAGTTCCTTGCAGACTGTCATAATGAGAGCCTCAGTTTCTTAATGACAGCCGGAGGTCATTAAGTTTTGCCATGTGGCCCCTTCCATAGGCAGTGCACAACATTGCATCTTGCTTCTTCAAAGCCAAGACAGAAGTCATAAACTTATGTAATAGCATCACATACATGCAATCACGTCTATCTTGCTACCTTTGCCATATTCTGTTGATTAGACGCAAGTCACAGGTCTTGCCCTCAAGGGGAAGAGATTACATAAGGGAATGAATACCTGGAGGGAGGGATTATGAGGAACATTTTAGAGTCTGTTTACCACAATGGGGAAGTAGATGGGTCACACCAGGAACAGAGAGGTACCAGTGTGACTAAAGTGTGATGAGAAGGGAGGATCTTTGGAATTTCCAAAGAAAGGAAAGTGCCAGGCTGTTTGGTCCCCAGACTATAGTGAGTAGACTGGGAGGGTCCACCCAGCAAATGGAGCTCACATTTTCTTTTTGTTTAACAGGAGCTTGTGAATCCAGAGCCCAACACTTACGCCCAAATCAATCCCTTGGTCTAATGGAAGCAGAGATCTTTTCTCCAGGAGTCCTAGAGAAACCACGCTTGGTCATATATTTAATGACATTTATTAAGTGTATATTATAACTCAGTCATTCTCTGTCATCTCTGTAGACCTTGTAGATGTTTTACTGCAAAGGGTTGGTCAGGCCCTGGCTCCCACAGAGTCTTAGATCTTGACTCTTTTTTTTTTTTTTTTTTTTTTTTTCAAAAAAATAGTAACAGGGTAAAAATGACAGCGTTCAGATCTAGAATTTGAGGGCCAAGGTTTGAGACTCATCAGCTTAGGATACCATAGTCGTAGGTTGAGGATGAGCAAACACCACTGGTGGACACTGACTCCAGGGAGAAAAGTGAGTCTGAGTCAGCCAGAGAGGAGCAGAGACAAAGACAGGAGTCAAAGAAGTGTCTTTTCAAATCATGGTAGAGAATAAAGATAAGGAGCCCTTAAGAAATTAATAGCTCTTAAGAACAGGAGAAAACACGTAGTAAAGTGAGGGACTGAGGCTCCTGAGGAGAGGTAGGCATGAAATGCTTAGAACCTGAGAAGTGCAGGGGTGGAGAGAGTCAGAATGAGATTTTCTGAAGGTAAAGAAAGTGAGGAGACAAAGATATCTCCACGGTTTCTTGCCAGGGCAACTGGATGATTGGCAGGTCACTTTCTAAGCAACTTTGGGATAAGGAGAGAAATGAAGAATTTGCTTCATGTCAAGAATTTAGACATCTCAAGAATCAGCTGGAGAATCAAGTAGGCAATTGTTCATAAAAGTCTAGATAGCTGATGGCTAGAGATACACATTTGAGAGTTGTCATTGGGATTTAAAGTTCTAGGGCTGGATGAATTCCTCTGTTAGGGGAGTCCCCAAGACCACCTCATGCTCAATGATTTTCTAGAAGAATTCACAGGACCCGATTGCTATACTCATGATTATAGTTTATTACAGCAAAAGATGAAGAATAAAATCAGCAAAAGGAAAGGGTTCATGGGGTGAAGTCTGAAGGATACCCCTGCACAAGCTTCCAAGTGTTCTCTTTCAGCGGAGAACTGTAAGAAATAAATTGCCCTTTTAAAACAAATTACCCAGATTTAGATATTGTTATAGGCAACAGAAAGTTCTGTTTACTTATTTATAATGAAGGGCAATTTATTTCTTACAGTTATGGAGGCTTGGAAGTCAAGGTCAAGGGGTGGCATCTAGTCAGAGCCTTCTTGCTGGTGGGACTCTCTGTAGAGTCCTGAAGTGGTGCAGGGAATCACCTGCCAAGGGGACTGAGTGTGCTAACATGTTAGCTCAGGTTTCTCTTCCTTTTGTTATGAAGCTACCAGTTCCACTCCCATGATAACCCATTAATCCATTAGTCCATGAATGGATTAATCCATTCATGAGGGCAAAGCCCTCCTGAGACAATCACCTCTTAAAAGCCCCCATCTCTCAATATTGCCACATAGAGGATTATGTTTCAACATGAGTTTTGGAAGAGACAAATATTCAAACCACAGCACATGAAAAATTCCCCAGCAATGATGTATGACAACATGTGTCAAGCATTGCCATCAAGGGAAGGTCACCTAAACCTGGGTGTCCACAGTTTTTGTAGAGGGTCAACCACTGAAGTTACAGACTCCTAGAAGCAAAGCAGATGTTCCCCCATAAATCACATTATTAGTATAAACCATCTGGACACACTGGTACAGCAAGGCTCAGGCCTCAGGCACGGAAAAGTACTCTTACCAGATAAAATGTTATGAGAGATCAGTTCCCAGAGCTGCCCAAAGGCTAGTCAGGAAAACAGGACTTTCATGGGAACTTACAGGGTTTGAGCAACGTAGGCCTGTAATGTCAACCCCAAGGAGAGTGGATGAAAATAAGGCAAAGGAACAGACTGCCGCCTGATTCCTGGGTGCCTCCAATATTTACAGGAGCGATCAAGCAAAGGAGACAGAAAAGGACTGATAACGCAGAGAAAGAACCAACATAGTAAACTCCTGGAAACAAAGAAAGAGTTTTCAGAATGGGTCGTTGCTATCTTTGGAGATGAATGGCTATGATGATGATGATAATGTTAATTGAGATTTTAAAAATTAATCATTAGATGTGATACAAGAGACCAGAGTTATAATCTGAAGGGTTACACTAAGTAGCACCAGAGACACCTGCCTATTTGAACCCTGGGAACTTTCCTCTTCCCTGCCAAGGAATGTCCCTCTCCCCTGACATCCTAGAGACAGATCATGCCCTTCTACCCTCTAGTGACTCTTATTTTTGTCTTCCAGTATTTAAATAGATTCATAACCTTCTTGCTCTTCACTGTATCTTGAGCCCTTACCCAATTCCTGGCCAATAAACAGGACCTTAATATGGAACTTTGGTCTCAGCTCTTCCCCAGAGAGTTGATAGATAAATCTTTAGGTTAGATGAGCATCTTTCTAGAATGTTCCTGAGTTGTAATTCTTTTTTTTTTTTTTCCCCGAGACACAATATGACTTTGTTGCTGAGGCTGGAGTGCAGCAGCATAATTTCAGTTCACAGCAACCTCTGTCTCCGGGGCTTAAGCGATCCTTCCTGCCTCAGCCTCCTGAGTAGCTGGAACTACAGGCTTGTGCCACCACGGCCAGCTAATTTTTAGATTTTTTGTAGAGATAGGGTTTCGCCATGTTGCCCAGGCTAGTCTTGAACTCCTGGGCTCAAATGACCCTCCTGCATTGGCTTCCCAAAGTGCTGGGATTATAGGCAAGAGCCACTGCCCGGAAGTGGTAACTCTTCTGAAGTCCCTGTAACATTCAGGTTAAGTCAGGATGTATGGGTTCCTGGAAGTAAACATTACCACCTTGTTCATTTTGAAAGCAAAAAAAAAAAGACCAAACAGAAGACAGATAGACAAAGTCAGTTTTAAATTACATAGTACTTATGTTGTATTTTCTGAATATCTTTTTTTTTTTGAGATGGAGTCTTACTCTGTTGCCCAGGCTGGAGTGCAGTGGGGCAATCTTGGCTCACTGCAGCCTCTGCCTCTCAGGGTCTAGTGATTTTCTTACCTCAGACTCTCAAGTAGCTGGGATTACAGGTGGCACACCACCATGTCTGGCTAATTTTTGTATTTTTTTTTTAGTAGAGACAGGGTTTCACCATGTTGCCCAGGCTGGTCTCAAACTCCTGACCTCGTGATCTGTCCGCCTTGGCCTTCCAAAGTGCTGGGATTACAGGTGTGAGCCACTACACCCAGCCCATTTTCTGAATATCTTAAAAAATTAACACAAAAATACGTGAAGTGAAAAAAGGAAGATGAGCTAAGACTCAAACCATCCCATTGTTATTTTGTCATATTTGTATTTGCAGATCAATCTGCGAGATTTTATATCTTTACAACACAGCTAGCAACATGGTTCTATTTGTCCATTTTCTCTCTCTTAGTAAGGTTTTGAGGGTTTCCTCAGATGACATGTATCTATCTTACTAAATTGATTTATAAGGCTTTTTCTTGCTTTTTTGTGAATAAATATGAACTTTTTCTGTCTTGTTTGCAAACTTAGTATTGCTTGCATGTAGAAGAAAGATACTGATGTGTAGACAAGGGGCAGCCTAAGGTAAAAGTTAAGAGCATGGACTAGAGTTCAACTTCTTGGTCTCAAATCCCAACTCTATCCTAACAATACACTCTAGGGTAAGTTACTTATCTCTGGGCTTCAGTTTTATCTTCTGTAAAATGTAAACAACAGTCTCATCTCACAAGAGTTGTGGTGAGGACTACATGAGTAAATATATATATAGATGTCTCTTACAAGACTGCTTAGCACAGAGTTTCACATGAAGGTTTGTTATTATCAGCATAGAGTGTTACATAAATGTTTATTATTACTTGTTTCACATTTAATTACTTTTAAACTCTCCTTGATGTTAATTGCTTTTAGTTAACTCTCTAAGGTCTGCTAATAACATCTGCTAATAATTTTGTATTCTTTGTACCTAATAGTTATATATCTATTTTATATTGAAGTTTCCTTTTTAAAACCAGTTCTTCAATGAGAATGCATGAACATGGGGAGGGGAACATCACACACCAGGGCCTGCTCAGGGGTGGGGAGCTAGGGGAGGGATAGCATTAGGAGAAATACCTAATGTAGATGACAGGTTGATGGGTGCAGCAAACCACCATGGCACGTGTATATCTATATATAACAAACCTGCATGTTCTGCACATGTATCCCAGAACTTAAAGTATAACAATAATAACTTTAAAAATCAGTTCTTGTTAGACATATGCTGAAATGTAGCATTTCATAGACAAAATTAAATAATATGTAGAATTTGCTTCAAAATCACTGGGAGATGAGGCGAGGGGAAAGCACAACATAGGTGGAAAGCACAATATAGATGAAACAAGACTGAGTGAAAATATTTAAGTCAGATGACAGAGGTCATGGGGGTTCATTAATTGAGTCCCTACTTTTGTTATGAATTTTAAAAAATAAAGGGTAAAAAAAAATAAACTACCTACTTCGATTTAGAAACCAATGTCACATTTAACCCTCAAACTTTAGAGATATGCCCATTAAAAGAACACAAACAAGAATGCCTCTTTTACTAATATTGTTTTGGAAATGGCAGCCAATATAATCCAACACGAAAGAGAATGTCTAGTCTAAAATACTGGTAAGGAAAAGATGAAATTGTAGATAACTGTCTCAATAGAAAAGCCAAGAGAATCTACTGGAGTATAAGAATTAACAACATTGCATTAGGTTAACCAGATACAAAACAAATACTTTAGGCTGGGCGCAGTGGCTCATACCTGTCATCCCTGCACTTTGGGAGGCCGAGGCCGGCAGATCTCAAGGTCAGGAGTTTGAGACCAGCCTGGCCAACACAGTGAAACCCCGTCTCTACTAAAAATACAAAAATTAGCCAGGCATGGTGGCACGCGCCTGTAGTCCCAGCTACTCGGAAGGCTGAGGCAGGAGAATTGCTTGAACCGGTAAGGTGGAGGTTGTGGTGAGCCAAGATCACGCCACTGCACTCCAGCCTGGGCAACAGAGTGAGACTCTGTCTCAAAAACAAAACAAAAAAGAAACTAGGGGATAGAGATTACATTTCAAATTGCAATAATTCATTGTTGTTAAAAGTGGGAATTTACGTGAGGAAAACTACAGGAGTGCTTTGACAAACATTTTTAGAAACTAAAATATTATGTATTTTCACACAGCAGGGCTCCAGTTTCCAGCTACCTCCCGGGTGAGTTGAAAATAACATCATAATTACTTAATAGGGTGATTGGGCTGGGTAATGAGATATTAAAGTGTTTAATACAGAGATGGGAACCTTTATTTAGTCAAAACAGATTGAGCATCTATTATGTGCCAGGTCTCTTTATTTTAGGTGTTGAGGATGCAGCAGTGATCAACATCGATAGAAATGCTTTTCCTTATGGAACTGACATTGTAGTGGTGAAGGCAGACAGTAGACCAAATAAATACTTACAATACATAGTGTGCTAGATAGCGAAAAGTTATATAGAGAAAAAATAAAAGATGAAGTGGGAGGCACGACATTGCTTGCAGGTTCACAACAGGTGGTTCATTCACAATGGGCAATGCCTCATGAGAAGGTGATATTCCCCTAATGACCAGACGGTGAGAGCCAAATGAATCCTTCAGGAGAGGCTGCCAGGTAGTGCAAATAAAATGATTCTTTATATTTTACTATTAAACGTAAAAACATAGATTCCTGAAGGGTTCGGTAGACGCTCCCTCAACTGTAAAATAGGGATGTCGCAAATGTCTAACAGGTTTCTCCCAAGACTAGAGGAGACAGTGGGTCGCGCGCAGCATCTGACAGGCGGCACCCAAGAAGGGTACCCGCCATTTCTATTGGATTCCGACGTCACGTCAGAGCGACTCCCCACCCATCGCTGCACTGGCCTAGGCCACCCGGTCCTGTTGCTGGTCTTAGGGCGTCCCCCAAGACCTGCACAAGCACAGTCACGACGCCCCACCAGGCCTCGGACGCTGACGTCCGCTTACCTTCTGCCTCTGTCCTCCGCCTCACTTCCCCCGAAGAGCCTGAATCTCTCCCACTCACCGCCCGCGCCGCTGAGGCTTCAGGGAATTGTAGTTCCGGCGCGCCGAACCCAAATGCACTTCCGGGTTCGGCCACAGCGCAGGCATTGTTCCGCGCGCCGACGCTCGCAGCTGCTGAGCAGTTGGGCCCTTCGGGATTAACCCCCAGCGGCCTTGCGGATGCTGACTAGGGGAGGGGACCAAACAAGCTTAATTCGAGTCGACCGTATTGCAGAATCGGGGCCAGGGTTTGCTTAACCCGAGTTCGTCCTGCCGCAGAGACTGCCAGGCACTGAGGCGGTGACAGGCCCAGCCTGTGCTGCGTACCAGCGGACGCTCGGTAGGGGCACGGGGCAGCTCCTGGTGTCCGATGCGCGCATGCGCAGGGTCTAGGCGCGAAGCTGGAAGCGGTGGTGAGTGTAGCGGGGAGACCTGGTCTCTGTGCGGGTGGCGCTTTAGCCTGAGGTAACCGAGGTTGATGGAGTTACTGAGACAGCTCTACATTCTGCGACTGTCCTCTGTGTGCATGCGCGGGTGCTTGGTCAGGTGGTGCTCTTGTCTGGGGCCTAAGGATACCCAGGTTGGTGAAAAATAGGGCATATGCATTGATGTAAGGGGGCATCCTGAGAACTCCCCTTCTTCAATGCCGGCCGTATTTAGTGGAGGTCCTGAGGATGTCCGGGTTGATGAAGTACTCCATTGCAGGTTGTGGTTTCTGGAGAAGAGGGGCTGTGCCACTGTTCCTTTAATCTTGAGCAAGCGTTTGAGTAGGAAGCAAAAGGTGGTAGATGAGATTCTGAGCAGGTGGCTCTGGGCCCCTGGAGCAGACAGCGCGCTTCTCGAAGTTCTAGGGGCGCTGTGGTTGGTGGAGAGACCAGGTTGGAGTTGCAGATTCTTGTCCTAGAAGAGGCAGTATTGCTATTGCTTGTGAACCCTTGGTGGGAGTCACCCATGGGCAGCAAACTCCCAGGCTGAAGGACGGTATCAGCGCCTAGAAACAGGTTCTGGGCAGAAGGCACCCTGTACGTCCTGGGGGTGTCTGAATGGAAAACAGAAACTTGATCTGATAGTAGGAACCTATGTAGGGTAGTGCAGAGCCCTAGGACATTCAAGATGGCCGACTCTGGGTTGGAGATACAGAGTCAGAGTCCAGGAAGGACAGAGCTGCAACAGCTGCCATCAAATTGGTAGCTGGGAGAAAGCTGTATACTGCCAGCATCCTTATGAAGCAGATGTTCTTGAGACCTTTACTTGGGTTACCCTACTTGCAGGCTCAAGAATGTACAGATTAATAGAGGGACAGAGTCTGTGCTGCAGGTTTGGTCCTGGAAAGAGCTGACTGCACGACACCCAGGCCCTCCTGTTTGGGCAAGAGAAGGCCAAAAGGCCCAGTTCCCATGGAGCTGCTGTATCATGGGCTTGAGAACCCTCACGCTGGCAAGTGCCCAAGTCCTGAGGCTGATTGTGGAGCCGTATGCTCAAACTACTGTTTAGTTGTTCTGGCTGCAGGCAAATAGTGGGGCAGGTGACCCCAGAACCCACACAGAGGCTATGGTTGCCTGAGATGTCCCAGGAAGGGTGAGGGATGTAGATTCTTGTCTCAGGAGCAGGGTGTGCCCCCAGACTGGCAGAGGATCCAGGTCCTGGATGCAGATTGTGAGCGTGAACCTGCTCTGTGGCTGTGTCAGTGGGAGGAGGGAGCCTAGGTGGATAGCCCATGTGCAGTGGCTGTAGAATAGAGGCCTGGGGGCCCCAGTTTGAATCTGGTCTTAGGAGGCATGGGGCTACTCCAGCTGCACTCTGCACATGTGCTGGCATTTGGGCAGACTGGGGAGACATGGGCAGTCTTAGGACCCTGGTTCTGCCTGAGGATGCTTAGGTGTGTGAAGGAAGCAGCTGCAGAGGGGCGGGACTGTGTCAGGCACTCCTTGTGCACACACACAGGCGTTTGGTTGGGAAACAGGAGGCTGGAGATGAGTTTTAGACAGAGGCAGCTGGGGTCTTTGTGTGGTTGGAACCCTGATCACAGCCTGGTGGTGCCCAGGTTGACAGGATCTTCCTGAGCCACATGTGCCCAGGAAGGTGTTTGGCCAGGAATCTGGGCAGGGGCTCAAGCGGGGCTGTGGAGGAAAGTGAGGAAACAGTTTGGGTGCAGGTTCAGGAAACAGCTGCATTGTGAGCCTACACTGTGCTGCGTGAGTGAGAATATGGTGGAAGCAGAGGAGAGAGTAAGAAGGAGAGATAGGGTGCAAGGAGTGGGGTGCCTAAGGTGGGATTTGCTAGGGGCTGCTCTAGTCTCAGACCCCAGAAAACCTAGTTGGTACAGAGGCATCTGAGCTTCTTAGACACATATTTAGAACCTGGGTAGGGCTGCTTTTGTCTGGCTTATGTTGGTGTCTGTTGGAGGCCCCTAGTCCTATGCAGGCCCTGTTGTAGTTTCAGGCCTGAGGATGCCCAAGCTGGTAGAGGGACTGGTTTAGAGCTACAAATTCAGAGCCTGGGAGGGTATTAGGGTAGAAATCTGGCTGATGCTGTTGGAGTAGGAGCCAGTGGACCCCAGAATGGTGGAGGAAACAGGATGTGGGTGCAGCTGAGCTCTGTGCATATGCTTGGCTATTTGAGCAGGAAGTGGGTGGCCCTCTGTGCTGGGTTGCTGGAGGGACAGGCCTGGCTGATGGAAGGGTAGGATCAGTCTTAGTTGCTGAATCAGTTCCTGGGAGCAGTGGAGCTGTGTCACCAGCTTCATGCAGTTAGGCAGTGAGTATGATTCTGGCCCTAGGAAGAAGTGCTGATTTGGAGCTGTAGATTGAGGTTGGTAGGGGTAGGATGGGGTGAACACCAAGAGGTCTTTGATATGTCTGATATTTGTGGGGAATCCCAGGGCCCAGTGGAATAAGAGAGTGATGGACTGGTGCTGCAGACTTTGGTGGTAGGCAGGAGGCCATGTTTGGGCATAAGCTGAGCTTATAGGTGGGGATGGTCCAGGGGTCCAAGATAGTGGAGGAACCAGAAGCTTGGCCTGGGAGGGGGACTGAGGGACTCTCAGTTTATGCACAAATATTTGGGCAGGAAGTTGGCAGGAACCTCTAGAAGTGCATTTGCTATGGAATGCATCCTGCATCCTGTGAGCAGGGGCTAATGGGGATGGGGGCTGCAGCAGACCTGACAGACCGGCATCTTCATGCTGTACCTGGGACTTCTCTCAGTGCAGCTCAGGACCTCAGCACCCTGCTGTGCCTGGAGGAGAGCATGGAAGAGCAGGATGAGAAGCCTCCAGAGCCCCCGAAGGCCTGTGCACAGGTGAGTGGAGCCACCTTTCCCAGAGGGACCCAGAGCTTGCTCCCACATAAGCCCTGCAGCCTGACCCTCTGGGCTTGGGAGGCTATGGCCCTCCTGACTCTCTTTGCAGCCTTTTAGGGGGTTTGGGGCCCTCATGGCCATCAGGCTTTAACACTTACACACTTATAATTTATGAATCTTCCTGGTAGTTGCCTCGCCTTTTTAGTCCACGTAACTCTTTCTGGGAGGAATTTGGTATCCTAAATCAAAAGCCCTTAGAATGCTGATTCCCCTTTGGCCAGCAATTCACAGCTTTGTTTGAGAATGAACAATTGGAAATATACTAAATGTGCAATGCAAGAGGATAGCTGAATGAATTATGGTAAGACCATGAAATGGAATACACTGTAGCCATTGAAACTGATATGATAATGCAAATTTAATGACAGAAAAAGTTATTTATTACCTTTGTTAAGTAAATAGCACTTAGAAATCATCACCTTTTAAAAAGGGATATAGTTTTTGTGTATATAGAAAATACATTAGAAGACTATAAATATACCAAACTGTTAACAAACATTATCTGGAGTTACTTTATAAGTGACTTTGTTTTATCATTCATTTATCTGTATTTTCTTTTTTTGGAGACAGGTCTTGCTCTGTTGTCCAGGCTGGAGTGCAGTGACACAATCCTAGCTCACTGTAGCCTCAAACTCCTGGGCTCAAGCCGTCTTCCTGCCTCAGTCTCCTGAGTAGCTGGGACTACAGGTAGGCACCACTAAGCCTGGCTAATATTTTTTGTGTGTGTATTTTTAAAATTTTTTGTAGAGACGATATCTCACTATGTTTGCCAGGCTGGTCTTAAACTTCTGGTCTCAAGCCATTCTCTCACCTCAGCCCCCCAAAGAGCTAGGATTACAGATATGAGCTACCACACCTGGCCTGTATTTTCACATTTTTGTACAGTGCATTTTAAGATAAAAAATATTAACAACTGGCCAAGCACAGTGGTTCACGCCTATAATCCCAGCACTTTGGGAGGTTGAGGTGGGAGGATTGCTTGAGGCCGGGAGTACAGGACCAGCCTGGGCAACATAATGAGACCCTGTCTCTACAGAAAATTTTAGAAATTAGCCAGCATAGTGGTGCCCATCTGTAGTCCCAGATACTTGAGGGGGTGAGGTGGGAGGATTGCCTGAGCCCAGGAGGTCTAGGATGTAGTGAGCTATGATTGTGCAACTGCACTCAAGCCTGGACAACAGAGTAAGATTCTGTCTCTAAAAAAAAAAAGAAAGTTAACAATTTAGAACATTTCCTACTGCAAATATTCTTTGAAAATGCTGAATTTCTTAAAACTGTTAAATTAGGGCTTTTCCTTTCTCTTCCTGAAGAATTCAGCCCTGAAGCCATGAGGTGGGGCAGTGCGAGGTAGGCACCTGCAGTTGTTAGGGCTGCCTGCTGTGAAGAGAGTGTCCACATGCAGGGTGTCAGTGACCAAGTAGGGTGAGGAGAGCATCTGCACAGGATGACATCCCCGCACAGTCAGAGCCCTAGTGGAGTGAAGAAGTCGCTTGTGTACCTGGGGGAGCCCAATGTGGGTGTCAGAGCCCAAGTGGGTGAGGCCCGTCTCCATATCTGGGGATCTGGTGTGGGATGATGGGGTCAGAGCAGGTGAGCAGGGCATCCAGAGAGGGGGTGCCCCACTGGGGACAATTGGAGCCCAAGTGCAGCAAGCAGGTGTCCATGGTAGATGGGGTGTTGGAGCCAGAGCAGGATAAGATGTACACCTGTGTTGGGGGTGGGGTGCAGCCTGGTGTGGCATGTCAGAGCATGAGCATGTTAAGGGCATCATGCATGAGAGTGGCCTGCAGGGGTGTCAGAGCCCAGCAGCATGTGGAGGGCACCCACATAGTGGGGCGGCCTGATGAGGGCTGTTTAGGTCCAAGTGGCAGAGTGAATCTGAGAGTTGAGGCAGTCTAGCCTGGGGAGTCAAAGCCTAAGCAGAGTGAGGAGTGCCCCTGGGCAGAGGGTGGCCTAGTGTAGGGTGGCAGAGCCCAGGGAGTCTGGGGAAAGCATCTATGGGGAGAGGGCATGGTTGTGGAAATGAGAGAGGAGCTACCTACAGGGGGATAGATCAGATAATAAATGTATAATAAGGGACTGGAGCCAGGTGTCTTGCCATCAAATCAGGGAGGTACAGATATGGCAAGAAAGAACATTTGAGTGGACTCTGGTGTGCAGTGAGAATTGGAGGTTTTAATGTGGGCTCATGATTTTCAGTACACATTAACCTAGGAATATATAGAGATGTGTGCCTGTATCTCTGTGCGTATGTATACACACAGATTCCCTGTCTGTCCATGGAGGGCTGGGAGCAGTGACGTCCCAGTACCACTATGCACACCTAGTGTCCAGACTTCACCTTCTAAATATGCTGTGGGTTTTATGGGTTTGTTAATGGCTCTTTAGTGTTAAATTTTTTGCTGTTAAAAATAACATTTATATAAATGTTTTGTATGTGATTCCTTGTACACATGCAGTTGTTTTAGAAGGAGTTAAGCAAATACATGAGTTTACACATATATCTTTATCAAAACTACAGGTAAAATATATGGGTTTTTGTTATTTTGTTGTTGTTTTTTAAGAGACAGGGTCTCACTCTGTTACCTAGTCTGGAGTACATGGCACACCAACATAGATCACTGCAGTCTAGAATTCCTAGACTCAAGTGACCCTCCCACCTCAGCCTCCTGAGTAGCTGGGACTGCAAGTGCACACCACTATGCCCAGCTGATTTTTTTGTTTTTTATTTTTTGTAGAGACAGGGTCTCACTGTGTTGCTCAGGCTGGTCTCGAACTCCTAGGATCGAGCCATCCTCCCACCTTGGCCTCCCAAAGTGCTGAGATTACAGGGTGAGCCACAGTGCCTGGCTGGTAAAATGTGTTTAGATGTGGCCATTGGTGTTCTAATTTAATCGAGGGACTAGGTGTTTTCTGGGAATCATAATGGTCCTTTTGCCATTTTCTTTTTTGTGAACTGAATTAGAAGTCCATTCAATATATTACTTGCATCACATATTTAATGACTGCCTAACTAGGCCCTTTGCAAAGCACTGGGAAGAAAGACGAGGCAGGGAACACTGCCCTGCACAAGTTAGTTCTCACATCCAGAAATGTGCTACATATATTTTCCAAGGCTGCATAGGAAAAGCAAAAACGTCCTGTTTCTTGTATTAGTTATCTGTTATTACATACCCCAAAACTTTGCAGCTTAAAATGGCCAATGTTTATTTTGTCATACAAATTCTGAAGGTCAGGAATCCCAGTCGGCTTAACTGGTTGGTTCTGGTGCTCAGGGTCACTGATGAGGTTGCAGGCAAGTTGTTGTCTGGGGCTGCTGCCTTCTGAAGGCTTGACTAGGTGGGAGGATATTGTGGCACACTTAGATGGCTGTTGGCAAGAGGTGCTCTACACCACATAGGCCTCCCTCCAGGTCTAGTCACAGCATAACAGTGGATTTCTGCCAGAGCAAATGATCGAGTGAGAGAGAGCGAGAGCAGGAGATAGCAAGAGCATGTAGTTGCATACAATCAAGGTGAAGCCACAGTGTCTTTTATCATCTGATTTCAGAAGTGATACATCATCACTTCTTCGATATTCTGTTGGTCACACAGACCCAACTTGGTACCATTGGGCTAGGATTGCACAAAGGCATGAATACTAGGAAGTAAGGGTCTTTGGGAGCCACCTCAGAGTCTGGCTACCATTCCTCTCAACTCTGAATGTTCTCTAGTTAATTTTAATTATTATCAAAAGATGAACAAGTACTTGATTTGGACCTGAAGGATATTAGAACCCTGGAAGGGAGAGAAAAATCGAGGGAACCCAAGTCTTTGCTTTGAATGACGGCCATGAGTTCAGTGAGCCAATCTAGGAAGGAACCATCTGGATATTGGGACATCACCTTAGAGATTTTAGTGGCTCATACTTGGAGAAGTAGCTGGTCCAGGGAAGGCCTTGAGCCAACTTTGAGCTCTACCTGCCTTCAGTGGCTGAGACCAAAACTGCTGCCAAGTAGGTGGTAGAATCTCACCATCCACTGTCATTCTCAACTTTCAAAGCTGTGCAGGTTGTTGGTGGCCCTAGGTGGATGGTCTGTTTTCTGTATTTGAGGACAGTGAGAATTGTTCATGGATGATAATGTGGGGCAGGAGAGGGAATTTTCTTGTGCATAAGAACTAAAGGGTCCTCTTGTCAGGATGATCTCAAAAAATGAGGCAGGGGAACCTTCTTTCCAGTACTGTAGTATGTAGAGGTTAGTTTTATGCTTTCTAGATTTGGTGATTAAGAAACCTCAGGGCCTCCCACATGGGCCCCTATGGACGCCACATCCCTTGAGCTGAAATATGAGCTCCACCTTCCATCTCCCTGGGCAGGAAGAGATGGAAACACACCAAGAAGTTGTCTGCTTGTGTGACGCTTGTGTTTTCTAAATGTCCTCACAAATATAGAGGGTTTCTTGTCAGGACACCCCAAAGCAAAGCTCGGAGAATTGAGTCCAGTAATACTTCTATGATTTGATTAGAAACTTCATTTTATTGCTTCAAGAATGCCTCATATTAGGAAAGGTATATTTGGTCATCTCTGTTTATAGGTGAGCAAATATTCATAGCCCTAGGTCTGATTTACCACTCTCTCACTTTGAAGTGGACAGGTCACTCCACAATAGTTCTGCTTCTCTCTTTTCCCCTGCTTTGGGTCCCATGGGGTCCCACCTGTGTTAAAGAAGGAACAATCATTATCTCCTGCCCACAACCCTTTTCTGTCTGGAAGTCAACATTCTGATTCCTGTTCCCATTTTATAAAGTCTGCAAAGAAAAAGGGAAATGCTCCTTTATGATAAAGGTGGCTGTTGAACAAGAGGGTAATTTTAAAATGCTCCAGAGCATACAGAAAGTAAAGGTTTTAAATTTTGTTCCTATGTCCCAAATGCTGTATGTGTCTCTAGTCTTGTCAAATTCAGAGAACTTTTATTGTGCTCCTACTCAATACTGAGTACTCAATACTCAATACAAAGATAAAAAAATATACAGTGCTTTATAATATAGAATTCAGGATCCGGGGGGAGGTATATAGAAATGGAAGTAATATGAAGAGAATAATTTTACTGGTATAGTAAAGGGCCAGCAAAGTTACAAAGTCCTGAGAGAAAAAGAGATGAGGCTTTCTGCTATCTGGGAACACTTCATGGAGGAGGTGGCATTTGATCTGTGCCTTGGGTGATTAGACAGACTTTGGTAAGACAATGGAAAGCAGAAGAGTTTGTGTCAGGCAATCAATGGACTTAAATGAGCTTAATAAACTTTATTACCATTAATTTCTACATTGGTGCAATAGAGATATTACTCTTTTCTTCAAAATGTGTTTAGGCCGGGTACAGGGGCTCACACCTATAATCCCAGCACTTTGGGAGGCTAAGGTGCAAGGATCACTTGAGGCCAGGAGTTCAAGACCAACCTGGGCAACATAGTGAGACTCCCACTTCTACAAAAAATAAAAACAGAAAAATTAGCCAGCTGGGCCAGGCGTGGTGGCTCACACCTGTAATCCCAGCATTTTGGGAGGCCGAGGTGGGCGGATCACGAGGTCAGGAGATCGAGACCATCTTGGCCAAGATGGTGAAACCCCATCTCTACTAAAAATATAAAAATTAGCTGGGCATGGTGGCACGCACCTATAGTCCCATCTACTCAGGAGGCTGAGGCAGAAGAATCACTTGAACCCAGGAGGTGAGGTTGCAATGAGCTGAGATTGCACCACTGCACTCTAGCCTGGTGACAGAGCGAGACTCCATCTCAAAAAAAAGAAAATTAGCCAGCTGTGGTGGCATGCATCTGTAGTCCCAACTGTTTGGGAGGGTGAGGCAGTAGATAGCTTGAGCCCAGGAGTTCAAGACTATAGTAGGCTATGGTGGTGCCACTGTACTCCAGCCTGGGTGACAGAATGAGACCTTATCTCTTAAAAAAAAAAAAAGTTTAGATGATTTTGTGAGATGGAAATTCTGTGTTGAAGTATTCTATGTATTACTGAAAATACTAGGCAAGTGATAGATTATATTGACATTATATGAGGGAAACTAAGGAAGCTAAGATGTAAATTCAGGAGATATTCCTAAAATGGTCAGTAATTTAAAGTGAGTAGAACATAGGGGAAGAGTCAGGGTATGTGGGTGTGCATGCATTCATGGGCTCACATTTGTTTGTCACAAGCTTATTTCTGAGCATTTAGTTTGTAAGAGTAAGTTGGGAGCAGGTTCTGGAGGCTGACACTTTGAATTTTCTGAGAAGAAAAGGTACCCAACAGAGGTTTACTCTAACCAGGGGAGGGGCTTGAGTTCAGCTATGCTTTAGTGCCTCCAGGGACCCCAGGGACCAATGCAAAGGTATAGGTAGCACATTCCATGCCCCTTCTAGTGGCTGTTTTATAGTCAGCATACATTTATTAAGACCCTACTATGTGTCAGTAGTGATCTAAGTGTGGTGGAACCATGGTAAACAGGACTGACAAGACCTCAGCTCTTAAGAAATTCAGTCTATTGGAAGAGTTAAATAAAAAACCAAAGATACAAGAATATATATGATGTGAAGATAGGAAAGCAGGGTAAAGTGATATAGTTGTCTGCTGGGGTCGAGGCAAGGAAGGACATTTCCTCCAGAGTCTACTTTGAGGAAAGATGAGCTTTATTTTGTTTTCTTGTGAAAACTTTTAAACAAAAAGGTGCTGAAAACAGTTTTCATTCAAGAAGAAGTGCAATCATATTCTCCAAGTAAACAAACAGATGGAGAAACATTCCATGCTCATGGTTAGGAAGAATCAATATCATGAAAATGACCATACTGCCCAAAGTAATTTATAGATTCAATGCTATCACCATCAAGCTACCAATGACCTTCTTCACAGATCTGGAAAAAAACTGCCTTAAACTTCATATGGAACCAAAAGAGAGCCTGCATAGCCAAGTCAATTCTAAGCAAAAAGAACAAAGCTGGAGGCATCACGCTACCTGATTTCAAACTATACTACAAGGCTACAGTAGTCAAAACAGCATGGTACTGGTACCAAAACAGAGATATAGACCAATGGAACAGAACAGAGGCCTCAGAGGCAATGCCACACATCTACAACCATCTGATCTTTGACAAACCTGAGAAAAACAAGCAATGGGGAAAGGATTCCCTGTTTAATAAATGATGTTGGGAAAACTGGCTAGCCACGTGCAGAAAGCAGAAACTGGACCCCTTCCTGACACCTTACACTAAAATGAACTCCAGATGGATTAAAGACTTAAACATAAGACCTAACACCATAAAAATCCTAGAAGAAAACTTAATTCTTTTGGGAACATCTTTCCAGATTTTTCTGTACATATTTATATTTCATAGAAATCTATTCATCTTCTGTATACTGTTCTTATTTTTTCACTCAGCAATATACTATAGACATGTTTCTATTATGTGTATCAGTACATGCAAATTTATTTCTTCTTCTCTTGGCTGCTAAATAGTATGCAGTCATCTGAATAAAGCATAATTTATTTGACCAAGCACTTCTTAGTGGGCATATAATCTCCCTTCCCATGTTGCTGTGATAATGTAACTTGCTAATGAGATTTCTTGTACATGCATCCCAGTGTACTTCATGTTATTTCCTAAGGATAGGTACTTACAAGTAGGCTAATGGATGTTACATTACACTTTTAAAAAATTGCCTTTAAAAAAACTAAAACAAAAATATACATAAAAATAGAATAAACTCTGCACTCGAATTAATAATATTGTACCAAAATTTCAATTTCCTGGTTTTGACAGTGTACTGTGGTTATATATGATATTACCAGGGAAAGATTAGTGTGGCTTTATTTTTGCCATTTCTTGTGAATCTTTAAGAATTTTCAAATAAAGCATTATTTGTAAATACAAATATTTAATATATAGCAAATACAGGGTGATTGTATCAATTTATACTTTTTCTAAGAATATATGAAGCTCTTGGCCAGTGGGTTGCCAGAGCTGGAGTCATTAGCATCAGACTAATGACTGTGACTGTCAGAGAAACATCCTGTATGGTCAGGATGTTGATTACATACAGGGAATGAGCAAATAAGTAAATATAAAGAGGAAAATGGGAGCCAGAGAAAGAAGGTATACATAAAGGAGAAAGTTTAGATAGAATAAGATGTGTTATTGAATTGTAGTTGGAGGTATCCATGTGAATTTACGATCTTTAATATATACAGATATAGAAGTAGGTGTTTGATTTTGACGTAAAGAGGTGAGCATCTGGTTTGTATATTCACAGCAGTTTCTTCATGGTTGCACGTGCATTTTTCTTTGTCCATTTTTCTGTCGAGACTACCTTTTACTGTTTTGGAAGAAGTCTTAATAGTATAGATTCTTATTGATAATGCCTTTATTAGTGGTACTTTTTGCTAGACTTTTTTTTTTTTTTTTTTTTTTTTTTTTTTTTTTTTTTTTTTTTTTTTTTTTTAAATTTTTTTTTTTTGTTTTTTTTTTTTTTTTTTTTTTTTTTTTTTTTTTTGAGACGGAGTTTCTGCTCTGTTGCCTAAGCTGGAGTGCAGTGGCGTGATCTCAGCTCACTGCAACCTCTGCCTCCTGTGTTCAAGCGATTCTCCTGCCTCAGCCTCCCAAGTAGCTGAGACTACAGGAGCGTGCCACCATGCCCAGCTAGTTTTTTAATTTTTAGTAGAGACAGGGTTTTATCGTGTTGGCCAGGCTGGTCTCAAACTCCTGGTCTCAAGTGATCTGCCTGCCTCAGCCTCCTAAAGTGTTGGGGTGAGCCACCACACCCGGCCTGCTAAACATCTTAAAAAATTAATTTGTTGATCCTTTTCTTTATGATTTTGGCATTGGTCATGCTGTATTCCATTTTATTTGCTTATAATTTTGTGACCCAGGAAATTTGTCACAGCCTGCCAGACAGTTCTTTGCTCTTTAGTGTCTTTAATGCACTCATTCTGCTGCATTTAGCTGCAACTGGGCTGGCCCAGAAGTCCCACAAAGACCTCACGTCCAGTTCTCTGTGGGCCTTGGTGCTCCTCCAGTTATCTCCTTTCTCTCTCCACATGGTTAGCTGAGCTTACCAGTGGGAGGAAGGAGTAGAAGTATGGTGGGGAGCATGTGTTAAAACAGGTGGTATGTCAAATCCTAGCCCACTCACAGGAGGAGATTTGAGATGCCACTTAGCTCCCTGATTATTTTACTTTTTCTCATCTGTTTTGCCTTCTCAGGATTCTCTCCTTCCTCAAGAGATTATCATCAAAGTCGAGGGAGAAGACACTGAGTCACTGACCATCCCATCTCAAGTAAGTTGGGCAAGCCTCTCTCTTTACATTGAGAAATGTGCATGGCTGGGAAGTGAGTAGAAAGAGAGGAAATGGAGATGAGAGTGGACAACTTTTTCAAGGATTTTGGTTATTGTGTGAAAGGCAGAAGAAAGTAAGAACTTCAAGGACTTTTGAGATTGAGGGGCTTCTTTTTTTAAGGGATTGAAAAGATTCAACTCAGTTTAAGTAAATACGGGAGGGAGTTAGTGGAGGAAAAAAAGTTAATGATCAGGAGATAAGAGAAACTATAAAGCAAAGTCTTTGGTTAGCACTAGAGAAATTAATTCAGAGCATCTTGAATAAACTTGCTCTATATGAGGAGAAGGATTTATATAGGAACAGTGAGGTTGAGGGAATTATTTGAAAGCTTTATTTTTGTTTACTGTGAAAAATCAGATGAGCATGATGATGGGAATTTGGAATGGAGAGATATACGATAAGGGTAGAGAAGGCTTAAAATAACAATTTTGGATTATGAGAGAAAACATAATTCTCCAGTAGGTGTAATAGGTTTGCTGGTCAATCTGAAAGTTTCATTCAGAGATAGTGGCCATTAATTTATAATACTCTGTCTGCTGCTTTTGTGCATTTTTTCCTGCAGTGTCATTTTGTAGCCCACTTTCCACAGAACTTGACATTCAAGTGCATTTAGTTTTTTTGTTTTGTTTTGTTTTGTTTTTTGAGACGGAGTCTCACTCTTGTTACCCAGGCTGGAGTGCAATGGCGTGATCTCGGCTCACTGCAACCTCCGTCTCCTGGGTTCAGGCAATTCTCCTGCCTCAGCCTCCCGAGTAGCTGGGATTACAGGCACGCGCCACCATGCCCAGCTAATTTTTTGTATTTTTAGTAGAGACGGGGTTTCACCATGTTGACCAGGATGGTCTCGATCTCTTGATCTGGTGATCCACCCGCCTCGGCCTCCCAAAGTGCTGGGATTACAGGCTTGAGCCACCGCGCCCGGCCCTCATTTAGTTTTTGTAATTTGCCAGGTCCACTTCCTGTGGAGTGGACATTCCAAAGGTCAAGGGAATATTTGAAAGAGAATTTAAAAATATCTCAAATAGGAAGATTAAAATGAATGATTCATGGACCTTAAATTGAGTAATTAATATGGAAGAGATAAAGAAGTCACTAAGTAGAAATGAAAAGAATATCGGCTGGTAGCGGTAATAGTAGACATTTCTGTAGCATATGGCCCTAAACCATTGAGGGACAAGAGTAAAGGGAGAAAATTGAGTCAATACAGTGGAGCAATCTGACATTGTAGTGAAAGATGGGCAGTTTCGTATTTGTGATTCAAAAGGTGTAGTGCTTTATGGAGATTTTAAGGTCTGGGGTGTCCCCCTAAGAGTGAGCTGATGAAGAGCAGCTTCAGGATATGAGACTTGGGTTAGCCATATGAATTGATGACTGATAACACAGTCTCTGATGTGTGCAAGCCTGAGGTTGTATCCTAACTCCTAACCTTAGCCATATATCTTAATTTCTATGACTGTCTTGTTCTTCATAAGAAAAAAATGGTACTGCTAATAGTGTTTTCTCATAGGAGCCCTGTGAGAGTTAAATGAATGATAATCCATGTGACATGTTAGTACAATGCCTAACACCATGGTGGTGCTTCATGAAAACTCATAAGTGCTTCATTAAAGTCTGTTATTTTTATATTCTCATCAGCTAACCATACAAGTGGATGTTATAGACAACATGAGACAAGACAATACAATTTCTTATATTAGAGTATAAATCCCAGGTATGAATCTTCAGTGAATGGGGGTGGGGGTGGTGTGCAGTAGGTGGGTAGGACAGAGCTCCAAGAAGTGAGGTAAATGGCATGAGTTTCAGAGTAACTGGGAGGACGTACACTCCCTCTTTGATGCTGAGATCCCTAGGATGGGAGAGCATCAGCATTCTTAGCTTCTGAGGACTGAGGAGGAGAGAAGTCCTCAGTAGGAAGTGTAGGTCTCCATTAACACAGGGATATATAAGGAATATTTGGTGAAGGATATTGTAACTGCATTATTTTATTATTATTTGGAGACAGGTTCTCACTTCAGTCACCCAGGCTGCATTGTAGTGGTGTGATCATGGCTCACTGCAGCCTTGACTTCCCAGGCTCAGGTGATTCTCCAAACCTCAGCCTCTCCTGAGTGCTGGGACTATAGGCATGCACCAGGACACCTGCCTAATTTTTTGCATATTTTTAGTAGAAATAGGGTGTCACCATGTTGCCCAGGCTGGTCTTGAACTCCTGGGCTGACCCACCTTGGTCTCCCAAAGTGCTGGGATTATAGGCATGAGCCATCATACCCAGCCTATTTTATTGTTACAAAAGACAAGTTTCAAGGGCACAGTTGAAGATTTTGGGAAAAAGTTTTCGGGCATGGGAAATTTGGGACAAGTGAGAAGAAGAGTAGAGTAAGTGGGACAGAAGTCTGGAAAAGCTAGTATCTGCACATTGAAGGGCCTTTTCAAACATGGGTATGTGGTACAGCTTGTGAGATTCAGGTAAGGGGAGATGACTTAAATCAATATGGGTGAAGGTTATTTTGATATATTAGGTTTGTTGATACTATTGATTCACTTACTGAAATAATTTATTAAATATAAATTTAATATGTACTGTATATAAACACTATGCTAAGCCTTGGAGTTACATTTGCAAATTGTAAACACCTTGTCCCTGCCTTCATGGATCATGGCCTAGTGACAGAGATGACCGTTATGCAAATAAGAAAGTGTGATGATAGAAGTCCATGGAGCTTTGAGAATATATAGTTAGGAGTGGAGTGGGGTGCTAATCTAGTTTAGCATTATCTGTTTGACATTTGAGCAAGCTTTATACTAAAGAGACCTATATTAAACAGGAAGGGGGAGTGTTTATTAAAAGGAAGCATGCATTACAGGTTGAAAGACAGTACAGTACCTTAAATATTAATGTTAAATTCAGGTAGCAGTTTGGCAAGTTATTTTTCTGAATTTCACATTGGGCTAATCATGAAAACATTTGAGGTTTCAGTGAAATTTTTAGGCTCAAACTTAGAGGCATGTACAGCAGTGTTTTGCATGTGTTTTCATGGCATTCAGGACCCTATATCCTATTCATGAACTGCAGTTCAAGAATGCCTGGTCTATTTAAAGAGCCTTTAGTGGCAAGAGGCATTTGACTTCTCCTTGCCTTTGCTGCTCCAGGGTAAGGACAGATCACCCTTAGCACTTCTTTTTTGGATTAAAATTCTTGCCCAGTTATCTTGAGAACAGGCCCTTTCCTGCTCAGAGGAGACAGCCCAAGAGACCCTGTTTATATGGCAGTAATAACAGCGAATATGTCCTAAAAGACTCTGCCATGCAGCTGGATATGGACAGAAACAGAACTGTTATTTGAAGACTGAGTGGTCAGAATAAAGGTTGCTTTGGCTCTCAGTTAATCTTTCAGGATTCTGAGACCTACTAATAGTAGCAGTACAGCCTAAGCACTCCTAATCCAAAAATCTGAAATTGTCCAAAATTTGAAGGTTTTGGAGCCATAGCATGATGCCACAAGTGGAAAATTATATACCTGACCTCCTGTGACTGGTCACAGTCAAAACACAGTCAAAACTTTGTTTCATACACAAAAATTTATTTAAAATATTGCTTAAAATTACCTTTAGGCTATATGTTTAAGGTGTATATGAAACATAAATGAATTTGTGTTTAGACTTGGATTTCATCTTCAAGGCATCTCATCATGTAAGTGCAAATATTTTAAAATCTGAAATCCAAATGCTTCCAGTCCTAAGTATTTTTGTTATGGGATACTCAACCTGTAATTACTAGCCTTTGTTGTTTCATCAGTAAACTTTGCTAGTGGCTTTTCATAGATCTTCATAATTATTAATTCAACCCAATGAGTTAGGTATTATTAGGCCTAATAAATAGAAATGGAACAAAGTCACCATTAAAAGACAGATTGGGTCAGGTGTGGTGGTTCATGCCTGTAATTCCAGCACTGTGGGAGTCTCAGACGGGAGGATCACTTGAACACAGGAGTGTGAGACCAGCCTAAGCAATATAATGAGGGTCTATTTCTACAAAAAATTTAAAAATTAGCCAGGCATGGTGGTGCACATGTGTAGTCACAGCTACTCAGAAGACCAGGTGGGAGGATCACTTGAGCCCAGAAGGTAGAGGCTGCAGTGAGCCATGATTGTGCCACTGCACTCCAGCCTGGGCAACAGACTGAGGCCGTGTCTCAAAAAAAAAAAGACAGGTTGTCAGATTAGATATATTTTTAAATCCAGATATATGCTCTTTATAGGTGAGAAGACCAAGTCTTTTTATTGTCTACATCCAGTGCTCTTCACCTATTCATACTGCTTTTCATTGAGGTCCACATTTCATTTTCTATCTCATGCATCAGCAAAGTACAGCCTGTGGCTGTTTTTGTAAATAAAGATCTATTGTAATATAGCCACACCTATTCGTTTATATATTTTCTGTGACTAATTTATTGCTATAGCAGCAGAGTTGAGTAGTGTGGTAGAGACTGTGTGGCTGGCAAAGTGTAAAATATTTACTGTCTGGACTTTGACAGAAAAAAAGTAAACACTTGTTTCATTAGTTTCTTGGGAATTTGGAGGGAATTCCTAAGTGAGAATTCTATAATCACTATTGCAAAAATCAGAATAAGCATCTTTTTTTAAGGCAGACAAGATAGTTTATGTCAGTTCTTATCTCATGTTCCTCTTTGGAGTTGTAAAAACAGGTCCAGCATCCAAAACCCAAAGAGTTCACCCAGAAGGCACCTGTACATCTTGACTGGAATCTTTTGGGCACTGACAATCTCAGGACAACTCCCAGGTCACCAGATTTTCCTTTTTCCATCTGTCAGACTTTTCTTTCTCCATGAACTTTGGAAGGAAATGGTGCTCAGCTGAGCAGCAATGTGTGTATTTTTTTAGGAAGGAGTGAACTTCAAAATTGTGACTGTGGACTTCACACAGGAGGAACAGGGCACTTGGAACCCTGCTCAGAGGAGCCTGGGTGGAGATATTATCCTGGAGAGCCACAGAGACCTAGTCTCTTGGGGTAAGAATATACTCCTCTTTAATGAAGATCCATGTACTGAAATGATTTCACATTCTCATTGATGAAGAACTGTGTGATTCATCAGCCACAATGATATTGGCTGCATATAGATTGTGTTTGTGCTCTTTATTCTCCAGTGAAGATTAATTTTAATTTGTAAGGTAGAAACAGTGCAGCTTCTTGGACTTGAGATTTTCAGTCTTCATGTTCCTAAAGACCAAAGGCTGGGACCAGATTCTGCAGTAATTTTCTTTTGTCCTCACCTTTGAACACTCAAATTCCTGTATCTTCTTCATCATCTTTTCAGAACAGATACAATCTCCTAGTTGGAGCAAGGGAAAGAATATAAAAAGAATTTTCCAATACATGTGTTCAAGTGAAAACCAGACACATAGGGATCATTGCAGGTATAGAAGGTTTGTTTGAGAAAAATCCCTATAGAAGATGCCACATTTTTCTTAATTTCATACCTTTTGGTGGACTGTATATATGACCACTTTTTCCATATATACTCTGTATTGCTTGACCTCATAGCCACCCAGGCTACTAGGAGCAACTCTAATCTCTCTCAGTTGGAATCACAGAAATTCATGGGGCTGTATTAGGGAACTGGGATAATAATGCCCCATTTAGGGAACTGGGATAATAATGCCCCATTCCTTTTCTTTTGTTCACAAAAATAGTTTTCTCATGTCTCACTGACATAGAGTAGAGTATTTAACAAGTTTTATGCCTTCAGAAATTCCTAGATATGTAGACACTAATCTCTTAGTGAACAACTGTATGGCACTAAAGAGTGGAAAAGAACTTCTATTCTTTACATATTGCAAAATTGGATTACAATTCTGTAGGTTCTATGTAGATGATCTTATTTTGGAATATGCAGGTTTTTGACATCCAAAGTCTTGTTTATTCAGACTGAGATTAAACCAATATTACGATAGTTGCATTTTAATGCTCTATTGTAATATTGGGCTGTGGTAGTTTTGTACTTAATGGTTTATCTCACCCTTTTGCTTTTTCAACCTAGGTAATTGGTCAGTATTTGAAAACAAATCCACATGCATTTTTCATACTTTCTTGTTAGCTTTATTCCATTTTTCCAGCTCTAATATTTTTTGGCTAAGATGTCTTTATTTTGCTTTCTTTCAGACTTAGCAACTGCAGTTGGAAAAGAAGATTCAACTTCAAAGCAGAACATTTTTGATGAAGAACCAGCTAATGGAGTGAAGACAGAATGTTTTACAAGGAATGATCCTTGGTTGTCTTCATGTGAAGAAGTTGGTGACTATAAAGATCAGTTGGAGGAGCAGCAGGAAAATCAAGAGATATTTTTGCAGGAAGTGGCTTTCACTCAAAGGAAAGCAATTATTCATGAGAGAGTCTGCAAAAGTGATGAACCTGCGGAGAAGAGTGGTCTGAATTCCAGCCTATTTTCATCCCCATTTATACCCATAATAAACCATTTTCATAAACATGTACCACATGCTAAAAAATGGTATCTTAATTCTGCTGTAAACAGTCATCAGAAGATTGATGACAATGAGACACTACGTGAAAATAATGAATGTGGAAAACCCCCTCAGAGCATTCACCTTATTCAGTTTACAAGAACTCAAACAAAAGATAAATCCTGTGGATTGCATGACAGTATTCAATCTTTTTGCCATGGTACACCCCTACAGATACATGAAAAAATTCACGGAGGAGGAAAAACCTTTGATTTTAAAGAATGTGGGCAAGTTTTGAACCACAACATATCCCATAATGAACAGAGAATTCCTGTTGAAGAAAGTCTATATAAATGTAGTAAAACCTCTCAGAGTTCCTCCCCAACTCAAAGCATGAGAAATAATTCTGAAGAGAAACCTTTTGAATGTAATCAATGTGGGAAATCCTTCAGCTGGAGCTCTCATCTTGTTGCACATCAGAGAACGCATACAGGAGAGAAACCCTATGAATGTAGTGAATGTGGAAAATCCTTTAGCCGGAGCTCGCACCTTGTTTCCCATCAGAGAACTCATACTGGAGAGAAGCCTTACAGGTGTAATCAGTGTGGGAAATCCTTTAGCCAGAGTTATGTCCTTGTTGTGCATCAAAGAACTCATACTGGAGAGAAGCCTTATGAGTGCAATCAGTGTGGAAAGTCATTCAGGCAGAGCTATAAACTTATTGCACATCAAAGAACACATACCGGAGAGAAGCCCTATGAATGTAATCAATGTGGGAAATCATTTATCCAGAGCTATAAACTTATTGCACATCAAAGAATTCATACTGGAGAAAAACCCTATGAATGCAATCAGTGTGGGAAATCCTTTAGTCAAAGTTATAAACTTGTTGCTCATCAGAGAACTCACACAGGAGAAAAACCCTTTGAATGTAATCAGTGTGGGAAATCCTTCAGCTGGAGCTCTCAGCTTGTTGCACATCAAAGAACTCACACTGGAGAGAAACCGTATGAATGCAGTGAATGTGGAAAATCTTTTAACCGCAGTTCTCACCTTGTTATGCATCAGAGAATTCACACTGGGGAAAAACCATATGAATGTAATCAGTGTGGAAAATCCTTCAGCCAGAGTTATGTTCTTGTTGTACATCAGAGAACTCATACTGGAGAAAAGCCCTATGAATGCAGTCAATGTGGGAAGTCCTTCAGGCAGAGTTCATGTCTTACTCAACATCAGAGAACGCATACTGGAGAGAAACCGTTTGAATGTAATCAGTGTGGAAAAACATTTAGTTTGAGTGCTCGACTTATTGTACATCAAAGAACTCATACTGGAGAGAAACCCTTTACATGTATTCAGTGTGGAAAAGCTTTCATTAATAGCTATAAACTTATTAGGCATCAGGCAACTCATACTGAAGAGAAACTCTATGAATGTAACTAGTTTGGAAATCTCTCAGCTGGAATTTATTCCTTTTTATTTCATTCTTTTAAAGAATTTATTTTAAGGTAGTACATGTAGTGGGAAGAGCTGCTATAAAAACAATACATGTGGGAAAACTTCCAGTCAGTCCTCTATTATTGTGTATCTGGAATTTGTTCTGGAAAAGAAAGGGGGAAATCTATGAATGACATTTCAACCTAACAATTCCATATGCAACATTAAACTTGGTTCCTATTACATATTCCTATGAAAATAATAAGTATTGGCACTTTTCCTTGCAGAAAGCACTCAGACCTGAATCAGATCGCTTCTCAGCCTTTTGGCTAAGATCAAGTGCAGACCTGAATCAGAGAAAATCATGCCAAAGCCATCTGCCAGTGTGTTAGACCTCTTTTTCCATAAAGAGTAAATGGAATGCTAACACTAGTGGGCTTATTGAGAAGATCGAAAGATTGCTGTAGTTAGAACTTAGGCTGGAAAACCATGTTTTAGTGCATCATTTTACTACATGATGTTCCAATTAGATAGCTCATAATCTGTTCCATACAGCACTTGCTGTTGTTACATGTGAAGATTTTGTAAAATTTAGGAAAGTGTCTATGATATATAGTGAAAAATGTGAGTCAAGAATATAGAAATAATATATATTATGATAAAGTGTGTACAGATTAGAATTGAAAGGGATAATGGATGTATCTATTCAACTTTTCAGTTTATGTTGTGCCTTCCTTTTTGGAATGTATGCTGTTGTGCTATAATAAATGATATAAGTAAAAATTATTCAAAAACAAAAATGAAATACAAAGATTTCCTTCTTTGACTATTTAGGAAAGACTAAGCAACCAGATAGCAAAGATCCCTCAGGATAATGAGATTTATGTTTGGATTAGCATGAGCATGTTACTATTTAAGATGTGGATTCCTAGGGACATTCCTCCTTGAATATAAAACAGATCCCTGGAAATAGGTGTCTAGAAATTTTGGCTAGAAATGGTTTGATATGAAGAATTGGGAATGCATGGGAAGTATAGAGGGCAAGTGGCCTTATTTTCATATATCCAAAGCAATATTAAGGAGCTCTATTTTCACATTTTTGTTTTTCCCCTTATATAGTATTCTCTTTCCTCTGGGATATGTTCCCTGATATGAGAGTCCTCTGAATGGAAGTGTGCTTCCCTGGCTCAGCGCTGACCACCTAAATTACACTTGCAAGAATGCTTTCATGAGGTAAGCTTTTAGTTACTCTTTGATATGTAAGATTTGATTAACATGTCTTGCTGACCTTGCCCCTGAATCATGAATTTGAATCCTGTGGATTACCATGTATTGAAGCCTCTGATCCCAGAAAGGTAATAAGTTGAAAGTTGAACTGAGAGACCAGATAACAGAGGTTGATACTCTGGGGATAGGAAGGAAAACTTAAGGTGACATCTAAGTGTGTAGATCCTCTTATATTTGGATATTTTTCAGTCAAACACTGATCAAAAATACAGATTTTGCAGGATGCAAAGCTCAAGTATATGGAGGGCCAATTTTTTATATACACGCATACAACTTTTTATATACATGCGTACACAGGGCCAACTGTGGGACTTGAGTATGCATGGATTTAGGTGTACGTGGGGTTTCTGGCACAAATTCCCCAAATATGCTGAGGGATGACTGGATGGTGACTTATGGTGGCCAAGACATAGTTTTAATAATTTAAAATGTTAGAGTAATTTCTATCATTTGCTCAATAATTTTCCTTTGCAGAAAAAATTGTAATTAAACAGTGGTCAATGAAAACTAAAACGAAGCTAAAGCATCAACAGGCCAAAAGTTTGTAATTAAACTTTTGAGCCTCAAGTTTGGGGTTAAAAAGGAGGATCGATAACTGGATTTTAATTACATATGACACATGAATATATATATATACACATAACATTTTATGAGTAAACATTTGTATAAACATTTTTGGCTGTGTAAAATTCACAAAAAACAAACTATACCATAGAAAAATTTATAGAGATTTTATAGGCCAGATTTAACCCTACTGCAGTAAAATTATAAATAAAAGGTGCCAAAATGTTTTTAATACCTGGATGTTAAGGAATGCTCTCCTGAAACCAGTTTTTTAAGAGAGTAAATTAAAACTGAACTTTAACATCACCTTGAAAGTACTACATCAGACCACTTAATGCCCAAACTTGTGGGATACAGAAAAAGCTGTTCTCAGAATAAAATAGAAAGGCTATAGCTCTGAATGACTTCTTTATCAAAAGAGAAAGAAAAAATAAACATGAGGACCCATGGTGATATTATGGAAACAATAACATAAATGAACACCAGGCCGGGCGCGGTGGCTCAAGCCTGTAATCCCAGCACTTGGGGAGGCCGAGGCGGGTGGATCACGAGGTCAAGAGATCGAGACCATCCTGGTCAACATGGTGAAACCCCGTCTCTACTAAAAATACAAAAAATCAGCTGGGCATGGTGGCGTGTGCCTGTAATCCTAGCTACTCAGGAGGCTGAGGCAGGAGAATTGCCTGAACCCAGGAGGCGGAGGTTGCGGTGAGCCGAGATCACGCCATTGCACTCCAGCCTGGGTAACAAGAGCGAAACTCTCAAAAAAAAAAAAAAAAAAAAAAAAAAAAAAAAAAAAAAAAAAAAAAAACCAAAAAAAAAAAAAAAAAAAAAAAAAAAATGAACACCAAGAGAAACAACAAAAACTAACAAATGGAAATATGTAAAATCTTAACGTGATCAAGAGTTGAATCCTTCTAGGGGGTTTCTATTCAACATTGTTTATTTTTTTCCTGTCTTCCTTCTATGCTCACTTTCCTTTTTGAAGTGTAACCTTTAGCATTCCCTTAACTGCAGTGTATGTGTGGTGACGTCTCAAAACTTCTGTGCCTGAAAGTGTCCTCAGTGGTCATGAACTCTTGAATGGTAACTTGGCTAAGGCAGACAATTTTAGGCTAACAATGATTTTGCTATATTATTTTGAAAATATATTTTCTTCTGGCATTTAATGCCAAAGATAATTTTTTTGGATAATCTTATTTCTTTATAGAGTAATCCAAGCTGCGGATTTTTTTCTGCTCAGTTTCTCAGAGTATGTTTTTAATAGGAGGAATTTGGTATAATTTCTAGGTTATGTAGACTTCCCAGCAGTGACCTCTTAGTTTTCTATTGCTTTTCTTTGTATTCTCTTTGAAACGCTGTTTGACAAGTGTTGTAGCCCCACGTTCTACCTTTCATAACTCTTAATTGCTTTTCTCTTAGTTTCAGTCATCCAGGGGAAAGTCTTCAGAATTACTACTGTTTTCTATCTTTTCTGTTTATTTTTAAATAATATTGTTCATTGTCGGTATTTTATAGTGGTGCTTTTCCACATCTCTCCACCCTAGGCAGCTTTCCCAAGCTTTGGTGGACCAGCTCACAATGACTCTTAGGATTCTGATGCCTCTTGCTGCCTGTATATAAGTAATAAACCCACCTCATGTAACTTGTTGCATGTGAGTGTGTTCTGTCTTAATGAACTCAGATCTAAGTTGGTAATCAGTGCTGTGAACCTGCCTCCCAGTCTTCCCAAGTGAAATTAAGTCCATTTGCAACTTCTATCAACAAACCGGAAAAATACTGATTTTTCGAGATAAAATTCTATGGGCCTAAGATTAATAGGATTTAGCAAGTACATTAAATGAGATATACAGAATAGATGGTATTATGTACAAAATCCATTAAAGTTTTTTAAATATAGAAGATGTATCTAAAAACAACGTCAAAAAGTCTGGATTTGCCTCTCCTAGCTGAAATGTCAAAAATATAAATAAAAGTATATTTAATTTTGTTAAACCTAGACATAAAGTGGAGGATAAAAATCACAAAATAAGGTGGAAACAGTGCAAAATCAGTAGCAACTGAGCAGGAGTGTGGGCGAAAATAGATATCCTCAGCAGGTACATTTCTCTGAAGTGAGGTGTACACCCCTTAATTATAGACTGAAATCCTTCACAATAAAGAGCACAAAGTACATTATCTGTCCTAGAGTCATTCTGTCTCCAAGAAAAGGCTGAAAATGACTGGGAGAAAAACATATTTGCATGAAGCAGTCACCTCCATGGCACAGTAACAAATGCTAGACTGCATAGTGAGCAGCCCTGTGGCTGACTTCACTGTTGAGTAGGAAGGAGTTAAAAGTAAAATACTTCTACACATCAACTATAAGAACTGTAAGAGCCTAGAATACAGCTGTTCAAGGAAGAACTTCTTAGGCAAAGAGAATAGATGAAAATGAGAGAGTACCAGGCGTGTACAAAGACTACTGGCCCTACAATTATTATTTAGAACTATAAGCAAGAAAGATGGGAAAACCTGGGCCAATCCAAGGCCACCAAGAAAAATGTCCTGCAAAGGATTGATGGCTCACATCCAAAACTAGCATATATTGGCCAGGTGCAGTGGCTTACGCCTGTAATTCCATCACTTTGGGAGGCTGAGGTAGGCAGATCACCTGAGGTCAGGAGTTTGAGACCAGCCCAGCCGACATGGCAAAACCCCATCTCTACTAAAAATACAAAAATTAGCCAGGCATGGTGGCACATGCCTGTATTCCAGCTACTTGGAATGCTGAGGCAGGAGAATCACTTGAACCCATAAGGTGGAAGTTGCTGTGAGCCCAGATCGCATCACTGCACTCCAGCTTGGGTGACAGAGCAAGACTCCATCTCAAAGGAAAAAAAAAAGGAAAGGAAAGAAAAATAAATAGCATGTAGCTCTCTACAAATTGTAGCAGCCTGGGTTCTTAGCTGGAAAGCACATGAGCCATCTCTAGCCAGTTGATTCAGAAAAGGAGTTTATTAAGAGGACATGTGGCTCCAAGAATTGGCAAGAACCTGTTAAGACCACAGTTGTGGCTATACAGACAGAAGCAAGTGCCAGAATCCTGGTCTGGAGCCCTTAAAAATTTTGCAGTCACGTCTCTGCACTAATTTTTTTTTTTTCTGATTCCGAGGCTGAGGCAGGTACCTAGGTCTGGTGGATCCTAGGTTGTGACTGGGCCTTAGCTTTCAGGAAGGTTGGAAGTCAGGGGCACTAGTGCCTGGCATTTTCAAGAGAGCCTTGTGATAGGTGGACTCTACCTTCCATTCACACCGGTTAAGTGGACAATTTGTCATTCATAGAATTGGTACTCAATAACCAGCACTAAAGGAAAAAATAAGCCAGCTTTTGCCTAGCCAATCGATCAACATTTTCTTCACTTTTTAAAATATTTATTTTTAAAGATATGTATATATAACCTCCTACCTAATTTAACACAGCTATCTCACTTACAACTAAAGACACACAGGGGGAATCTAAACCTTCACATTACTGCATCCACTTCCAAGAACAGGATCTCTGAGTGATGTCCATTCCTCTTTTGAAAAATTCCTCATGTAGGAAGATGGTTCAGATGTTGATTATAAGTTTTAAAACTGAAAATAATAAAACCAGGTCAAATTACCAAGCTGATATTCAGAAACTTTGGTTGTTAGTAAATAAAGCTTTCTAAAACTGCTTTTGTAAAACAACAATCAAGTTGGCGATGTAGGAAGTTATTGCTGTTTAGGATAATTCAATCTGTATTTGGATTTATTTGGGGTCTATCTATAACAATGACTATGTTTGATCAACCTTGCAGTAAAAATGGTGTTGTTATATTTAAAAAATGCTGCTTTAGGCATTTGCCAAGTGGATCTTCATGTTGGAACAGCAAAGTTAGATTTTCTGTTTTATTGGCCGTTTGGTAATGTTTTGCAATCCACTG